GGGCTGAAAATGATGCTGCCAACAGGGTGATTGGCCTTAACGTGCCTGGTGCTGGGAGAGTGGGTAAACTGGGCAGAGGAGAATAAAGGAATTCCAGAGCGTTAGTGAGAACTGGCTGCAATCCCCTTAGTCGGGATATTTAACGAGCACCTAGTAAGGGCTAAGCACCTTGCAAGATGCTAGGGATTGAAAAGCGAACAGATGGAGACATTCCTATTCCTCCCAGAGATGTGAAGCTTAATGAAGCACACGGGCCAACAGGCAATAGTGACTCATTTGGATGAATGATGTAATGAGTAGCTCCCACCTGGGACAATTCTGCCCCCTTCCCTCCCCCGGGGGACGTCTGCAATGTTTAGAGACAGTTCTGGTTGTCAGAACTTGGGGGAGAGGGTGTGGTCCTGGCATCCAGTGGGCAGGGGCAGAGATGCACCTTAATATCTTAAAACTGCCCGGCCGGCTTGGCTCAGTGGTTGAACATTAACCTATGAACCAGGAGGTCACGATTCGATTCCCAGTCAGGGCACGTGCCCAGGGCAGGCTTTCATAACTCATCACTCCAGAGATCACAAGAAAGGGGCAGCGAGGAGGGAAGCCCAAGACCCTCAGATAGGAAGATCGGTGTGTCGCGATTGGCTGGAGTCCGGGGGAAGGGGGGCTGCCATCCAGGCTTCCCGCAGGGCATGTCCCTGACAGAGCTGCCATTCAGGGGCCAGAACACAGCGTTGGGGGCAGTGAACATGAGCTCAGTCCGGGATTGGAAATTCACACTGAGATGGAAAGGGAAGAAGCCGGGCCTGGGGCAGCAGATAAAATGCGATGCGAGAAGAGGCTGAGCAGCTAAAGGCAGCAGTGAGGACACTGAGGAGGTCTAACGGATGGGGAGCAGGAGAAGGGCCAGAGAGAGCAGGTTCAGAATCGGGGTTCTCATGGACGCTTCGGGTCACGTGGGAGTGACAGTAGAACAGGGGGGACGGGGGCCAGGAGGCCAAAGTGTGGGGGGCCATGCAGGGACCAGGTGTCCTTACGTTACAACACGGATACTGAAACCTCTAAGGCTGATGAGAGAAGGTGGAGATGCTGCAGAATGAATAGCCCTGCCCCTCCAAAGTCCATACGTTCACCCCTCCCCTCCAATGTGATGGTGTTAGGAGGTGGGGCCTTTGGGGGTGATCAGATCATGAGGGTGGAGCCCTCGTGAATGGATTATAAAAAGGAAGTCCAGCCCGAGCATCGACTAGAGTGAGAATTGACTTCGATTAAAATTAGGGCGAGGAAACAGCAATGATTTCTATGAGGACTGGGAGCTGAAAGCAGGGGCCAGGGGAAGGCCTGGGGACAGAACCAGGAGGTCACGGTTTGATTCCTGGTCAGCACATGCCCCAGTTGCTGGCTCAGTCCCCACTGGGGGAGTGCAGGAGGCAGCCAATGCAGGTGGCTGTCTATAACCAGGAAGTGGTTCTCAGCGGACACTGAACCTGCCAGGCCTTCATATGGGCTTCTCAGCCTCCACAGCTGCGAGAAGTAACGTTTGTTGTGTCAGCACCCAGTCTGCAGTGCTTTAGCCGCCCGGCTGGACAAAGACGGGGAAAGGGCCAGAGGCTAAAGCTCTTAAAAAGTGTCAAAGATGCCACAACTATTTTAACAGCCCAGGTAATAAAACGGATGCATTTCTTAAAAAAAAAAAAAGTGTCAAATAGCATCGACTAGAGTGAGAATTGACTTCGATTACAATTAGGGCGAGGAGACAGCAATGATTTCTATGAGGACTGGGGGCTGAAAGCAAGGGCCAGGGGAAGGCCTGGGGACATTCTTTTTTAAAGGACACTGTCTATCTATCTATCTATCTATCTATCTATCTATCTATCTATCTATCTATCTATCCATCTATCTATCTATAATAGAGAAATATGCTAATTAACCAGAACGCTATAACGGGTCAACCACACAGGAGGAGGTTGTGTGCGCAGCGTCCGGGGCAGGGTGGCAGGGGCCTCTGTGCACCTGCACAGACAGTGGTCTGGGAAGAGGTGGGATGAACTTGATAGATGAGTGGATACGGCGGTGATTGTAGAGCAGCCCAGTCTCTGAGCAAAACACGGATGCTGCCATAAGGCTTGGACCAATGCTCCCCCGACCTCTCCGTGGTGATGGGACACCAAGTGAGAGCTCTTCCTGTCGTCTTCATTATCTTTGAACATGCCTGATTTAGTATGTACTGTGGATCCAGTCTCATAGCTAAGATGCTATTATATACCCATATGTTATTCTCTGTGGCATAGCGAAGGCACAGGGGCTCGTAATGAAAAGAGTGATGGGCCAGTGGTCTGGGAAGAGGTGGGATGAACTTGATAAAGAGACGAGTGGATACGGCGGTGACTGTAGAGCAGCCCAGTCTCTGAGGAAAACACTGATGCTGCCATAGGCTTGGACCAATGCTCCCCCAGACCTCTCCGTGGTGATGGGAATGCTCTGTCTGTATCTGTGCTGTCTGCTACAGTCACCACAGCTACCTGTGACCACTGTGTGTCGGGAAATACAGAGCGACTTCAATGAACTGAGGTGTGGCCCCAAACATAGCAATGACCCAGCAGAAACTCCTATGATTCAAAGCTCTGACAGTACTGCCGGTCACCAAGTGCGAGCTCTTCCTGTCGTCTTCATTATCTTTGAACATGCCTGATTTCGTATGTTCCGTGGATCCAGTCTCATAGCGAAGATGCTATTATATACACATATGCTATTCTCTGTGGCATATTTGGATGTTCTCAAAATTCCCTGTGGACAGCCCTAGCCGGTTTGCCTAAGTGGATAGAGCCTCAGCCTACAGACTGAAGGGTCTTGGGTTTGATTCTGGTCAAGGACACAGGCCTGGGTTGTGGGCTTGATCCACCTTCTTTTTTCTGTGTATGCTTCTCAAAACTCTTTTTTAAAGGACACTGTCTATCTATCTATCTATCTATCTATCTATCTATCTATCTATCTATCTATCTATCCATCTATCTATCTATAATAGAGAAATATGCTAATTAACCAGAACGCTATAACGGGTCAACCACACAGGAGGAGGTTGTGTGCGCAGCGTCCGGGGCAGGGTGGCAGGGGCCTCTGTGCACCTGCACAGAGGGGGAGGCCTGATTGGCAGCAGTTGTGGCTGCTTCAAGGGCCAGAGAGCGAGGCAGGGCTGGACTGACGACTTAAGGGTGGGCAGTGCCGCGTGATTTCGAATCACGCGTTGGGCTCCTAGTATATATATAAGAAATTCACTGTGTATAGAAAAAAACACATCTGTCTTTAGTTATACATGAACATGTACTTATGGGTGTCAAGATTTTCACACCATTAAAAATGATCTATATATATAAAAGCCTAAGCGACAGTTCTACTGTTTAACCGGTAGCTATGATGCGCGAGCGACTTCAATGGACTGAGGTGTGGCCCCAAACACAGCAATGACCCAGCAGGAACTCCGATGATTCAAAGCTCCTACAGCACTGCCGGTCACCAAGTGAGAGCTCTTCCTGTCGTCTTCATTATCTTTGAACATGCCTGATTTAGTATGTACTGTGGATCCAGTCTCATAGCTAAGATGCTATTATATACCCATATGTTATTCTCTGTGGCATAGCTGGATGTTCTCAAAATTCCCTGTGGACAGCCCTAGCCGGTTTGCCTAAATGGATAGAGCCTCAACCTACAGACTGAAGAGTCCTGGGTTTGATTCTGGTCAAGGGCACAGGCCTGGGTTGTGGGCTTGATCCCCAGTAGAGGGCGTG